ATAACAGGAGCTCTGCTCGGCGTCGCTGTTATCGCAGCTCACGTTCTCACAAAGGCCGGGCCAGGCATCAATCCGTTGCTTCCGAGTTCCGACCCACGGCTGGGCGTGGGCTGACGCCTGACAAGCAGAGTACTACGTGTCTACGTCCAATTGGCTAGAGTACGTACGACACGGTACAGAAGCCATCGCTTGGCACTTGGCAGGGCGTTCGGCGTTCCCTGCCTTGTTGGGACTTGAGATTGCATCGCAGCAGCGCTGCTGTTTATGACTGCATCCACCGCCGATTTTTTTTTTTAATAATATTCTTTAATGATTAATTGCAAATGTAGCATTTGATTAAAACGAATTGCAAATATAGTAGCATGTCGGCCATCGGATAGCCGATCGATTCCTATCGGCTTCTGGGAAGCCGACAGGATCCTATCGGCCGTCCAGAAGCCGACAAGGCTCCGGAGGGGGCTGGCTCATACGGCAAAGTGGGCCATATCGGGCCGATAGGCCTATGGGCCGCACGGAGGCCGATAAGATTCTGTCGGCTTTCCGATGGCCGATAGGTCCTAAAATATCTAGCCAGCATCTTCCTCCTTCCCTCTCGCTCGCGTTCGCGCTCTCTCTCTCACCGCGTCGCCGTCGGCTGCCGCTGCTCACTGTCGCTGCTGGTGACCTCCTCTCATCGGCGCCGACCGAATCCGAACGGAGGGCGTGCCGCCGCCGCCCACCCTGCCCGCCTGCATGCCGCCTACTACTTCCAAATGCTGTGCGGTATGGTTTTTATTTCTTTTGTAAATTTAGATTTTAGTTTTTTAGTTAGTTTATTTAGATTTTGTTTAGTTAGATATGGTTAAGGTTAGATTAATTAGTATATTTAGTTTGTAGTCGTATATTAGGTTAGTTTTTAGGGTTAGATTAATTAGTTTTTAGGTTAGATTAATTAGTATATTTAGTTTGTAGTCGTATATTAGGATATATTAATTAGTTTTTTAGGTTAGATTAATTAGTATATTTAGTTTTTAGGATTAGGGTTAGTTGAGATTAGGGTTTGTTTTTTAGGTTCGCTTGAGTTGTAGATTAGTTTTTTAGTTAATTTTTGGGGTTAGTTTTTAGGTTAGTTTTAGCTGTCGTTAGTTATTTTTAGTTAGGTTGTAGGGTTCATTTACTTAGGGTTAGCTTAGTTTTAGTTTATTTTGTTTAGTTCACGTGGTACTTCATATAACTCGACATTTATACTTTGTACGATGCGTACTGTGAATGTCGACCGATTTAGTTTCTTTCAGAATTTACCATGGCGATGGTGAAATCGATACGAGGACAATGGGGGGTCAACCTTAGTGAGTTCCAGGTGTCTTTGACACATAACTAAATTCGCCATAGATTATAGCCGCAAACAAGTTTTAGCCTGGCTGCATGAATATTTGGGTGTTCCGCCTCCCAACATCGCTTCGGATTAGTATGTTGGTGCCTAAATTATGGAGAATGGATGGAGGTGGAGCTGTATGAGGCCAATAACACAAAGAAGTGGCATTTTCTCGTGTCTAAGGCGTTGGAGCATCGTTATTACAACATCATGTCAAGTTGAGTTCTGAATGGTGGCATGCGGGTGAGTAGCAACACAGTGTGTAGTAGAGGACAACTTAGAGGCCGTAAATGCTGAGCAGACCTATGTTTCCAATCCTCAGGCGGTTCAGAACACGATAGAGGATGGAGAAGTAGGAGTGTTCAAATTTGGTAATCAATATTCTTTTTTATCACAGGCCATGTGCTGCTGGTCTGCTTCCGTTCGCACGCCTGGTTGAGCGACACCGCACACAGGGTGTGCGCTTTCCGGCTGACCGTACACTCCTCTCTCGCTTGGGTCGACTGCTGGAGACCGGAGACGCACACTTTCCACCTACCCAGAGTAGGTGAGGTGACCGCCACCTGCAGGACGTCGCCATGTTGTTCGGTCTACCTCTCGCTGGTGCCCCTGTCGGCCTTGTAGTAGTGCCGGGGGACTGGGAGGACCAGATCCTGCACCGTTTCTAGGGTGTGTTCTAGCCGGGGGAGGGAGAGGATGAGCAGTTCAGCTTCCACGACCGCCACGGCCCTCCGGGCGTGGTTGTCTCGGGCCAAAGCGAGAGGCTCACGAAGGACGAGGACGACTAGAGGGTTCAGCGACACTTGAGGCGTGCACTGATGTGGTTGTTCGGTTGGGTACTCTTCACCGCTTCTCACCACGACACCGTCCGACAAGCACTTGGTTCACTACGCGCGCAGAGAGAAGCGTCACGCACCACTTGGGGTGATTCCCTAGTACAATTGGGGTTCAGCGGTGCTTGCAGCTACGTACTGGGCTTTATGCGATGCTTGCACTTAGAGGACTACAACAGGTACGTTGTCTGGTTGTCCGTTGTTGCTGATGTTGTGGTCATTCGAGCGGTTCGATATCGGGAGATCGGCCCTATCGTCAGCATTTGAGCCATACGACGACGAGATGTACGCTTATCGACTGTGTTGGTGTGGCCAACGAGCTCAACGCCCCAACAATGGGCACACTCTGGCTGTCACGTGACCTAAGTATTTTGTCTATACTATTTGTTGAACTATGTTAGTATTATGCTTTCAATGTTCAACAAGTTTGTTCTTTCCAGCCGAGGTGGGCACCAGGCACAGGTAGAGGCACGTACAATGTGTACGTCGTTGCGTTGGACCAGCTCACAGCTGACAGGGTTCGGTGGACCCCGTACACAGCACTTGACATACAGCATCGTGCTCTGCGTGGCTTGTCGGAGATGTGCTACCATGACCAGGACCTATGGTATGCGAGGAAACGACTGGTGTTCGACATCTTCGCCGAGCCGTACTGTCCGGAGCCGGTGGCACGCTAGTTTGGGCGCTCGCAGGTCTTCCCCCTTCCTCGACCTCAGCTTGACGGGTCGCATAGGTAAGTCTTGTTGTATTCACATTTCTTCATGATGCTGGTACAGCTTTGTTCATTATTAATTCTATTGTAGGATTTCAAGGAGAAAGGTCAAGGTATAGTGTTTGAGCAGTCGTGGGTGGATAGGATGATGCCTTGGGTCAACGCCTGGGCAGAGGCGGCCGCCGACGTGCACAACCTAGGTGCACCATTCGACGAGGGCACGTACTGCGAGTACTTGCGTTGGTTCCACGAAGCCACACGCGTTCGTTGCTTCCCCGTGCTGGTACAAGCCGCGCCGCACGAGACCGAGATCACCGACACGTTCGCGACGGAGCCACCCGCTGCTTTCCATGCGCTAGTAAGTAAATTTGTAAACTTCTTTGTCCTATCGTTACTTTGCCAATGAGTCACAACAATTCATGCAACAATACATGCCTGCCTTGCAGACAGATATCTGCAGCGACGAGGGCAACGAGCTGCTTTCGTATGCCCATCGGTTCGAGCAGAACCCCCCAACGGTTGGTAGGATCGAGTTGGTTGCCGCCCTTCGACGACTGGGGCAACATTGCTTAGCGGGAGTACGCCGGGCATCGTGCCGCCGCACCACAGACGTAGTTGTTCACATCCAGCAGGGTGAGGCTCCAGCGCCGCCTCCTCTTCCGCCTCCAAATGAGGATTTGGAGGACGTGCTCGTTCTTCGCACCCGACGGTTGGAGTCCTAGGTACTTTTGCGATGACCTTCCACTTCCACCTCATGCATTTTGTACGTAACATGCTCTTTGTGACCTTACAATTTTTTGGTAGGTGGACGTGCTTCTTGCAGTGACTACACGATGGGTACTAGCAGCTTCGCGACCTTTTGCACCGACGACAGTCCTCCTTGGTTCCCCGATGAGGCCGGGCCCTCACAGCTTTCAGGTGCACCTCTGCCTACTCAGCTGACTCAGCCGACCGAGGGTACGCAGCCTACAGAGTCGACCCCGTTGGCATGCCAGCGCTGTCCTCCCTCCAGACCAGCTCACTTACCCTACGGCGCAGATCCCTCAAACGTGGCCGTCGTGCAGGTTGACCTGTATTAATCATATGGTTGTATGGTTGCATGCATGTGAACAAATGTACTCCTGGATTTCTGATGCCTCTAACCGTATTAGTCGCTTTACAACCATTTAATGGAGGCAACGCTCCAATAACTTCCTGACGCCTACATCGAGGCAAAGGACAATTCAGCGGACAAACGACGTAGGCTTTGTAGATTTGGTCCATGTACTGCGCTGGGTTAATATTATAATGTGTTTGCCTTCAAAAGTTTGTAAGGTTCCTTAGGTTATGGTGCGTAATATATGTTTATATGTTCGGAAAAGGAGAGCAAATGTTTTTAGTGTTGCAGTGGTAAAGTTAGTTTTCTATCTGGTGATGGTTATGTTCGAAAAATAGCTCATATCGGGTCATAAAGCATGAAATAGTGTAATTGGGTGCTGGATGGGCGACAGGCATGTCGGCCGCTGGAGGGCCGACGCCTATCGGCCCCCCCCAAAGCCAATAGGGCCTGTCGGCCTTCCAGCTACCGACAGGTCTGCTATCGGCGCCGACAGGACGGCGTCGGCTGCCACGTCACCCCTATCGTCTGCTGAGGTGCCGACATGAGACCAGTCGGCCTTCCAGAGTCCGACGTGTCGGCTTCCCAGTCGCCGACAGGATGCTATATCTACACTTTTTGTATGACAACTTCTAGATTTGCAATTATTCATTAAAAATATTATTTAAAAAAAATCATCCATCGCCTACCATTCTCACCCTAATACACAGGACACAGCACAGCAAAGATCTCACCAAAGTGGCTCGCAATCAAGCTAGCACCACGCCTCCTCGATATGTATATGCTGGTCTCCACTCTCCACCAGCCAAAGCCCTTTCATCAAGATAACTTTCTCTACACTCGAAAAAATTATACACCAAACATTCTCTACACTCAAAACATTGTACACCAGCTGCATAAATCAAAGACCCCGGCCTTTTCGTTCCCTCAAGCTGCACATTCATCACAAGCATTCAACGCCATTTTTTCTTCGTCTGGGCACTGATGCCATGATCAGCCGTAGTCCTATCTATCATTGATCATGCAGAGGTACCCACCCCCTGCATTCCGCTCCAGGGGATACCTGGTGGCACCTTTCATGTCCTCGAGGTGCTTCATGGCAGCATCTCGTAGACCAGATCTGTTTGGTTCCTTCCCTTTCCTGCGCTTCTTTATCATGGTGCAAGTCCCCAGAGGGCTATTACTTCCAGCCCCAGGTCTCCTGCAGTGACAATTGCAAGTTTGAACTTTCAGTACAGTTACCATCAGTAACGGTTCATCAGTTTTGCTAATACAGCGCCGTGATTCAAGGAGATACAGACACTGAAGAAACACATCAATTATCCTGATGAACAGATGAACTAAATCACAAAAGAAAGGAAGGCCCTGAAACTTACTTCAACAACTTCTCAGAAGCAACTCTGGCAGCCTCGATGGTAGCCCTGGTAGGCAGCCACTTCACTGTCCTGCCAGGATCACCTCGCATCGGTGAATGGATTTTTACCAGCTGCACACGATATATTTTTAATATCAGTACACCACATTATCATGGGTAACAAGCAAAATAACATAACATAATGGATGTAAACAGTTTTGTTAGCTAAGATTACAGCAAGAAAGAAACTCACACCAAGACATTCCATCATCTGATAATATGCTCTACCATGTAGTGGAGTGTGTCCCTTTCTGACCTCTGAAAAGTACCTTGTCCTGAAAGACAACAGCTCCAGCTGTAAGCAAAACTGTAGACCAGAATTCATTACTGTCACTACGTGAAGATCAACCATTCACTAACCATTCCTTGTAACCTGGGTCTACTGTGAAGCCATACATATCAACACTGTCACAGATGGAAAGGGCGAATTCAAGAGCTTTAAGCCCTGTTCCTTTAGCTGAGGAACCAAATGATGTGCCTAGCATGAGGTATACCGGATTGGTTATTGGAAGTTCCTACATAGCAAGAGTTCCAGCAGCCAGATAAGAAAATATAGAACATGTACTCAAGGTGGTCTGATTTCTAACATGGAAGTTAAATTACCCGAATCATTTGGTTCATAATATCATGTATTGTCGTCTTAACGATCAGTACTTCTTTTTTGTTTCTGCAACCATAAAAATTAGCATGCCTTTTCATATTGATATCCCACTTATAGGGGACAAAAGATAGATGGCAGACTTACCATCTAACTCAACAACTTTATCTAGTGCCTTTGCAGATCCTCTATTCAGAAGGCGAAATGTACTCTTTGTACCAACATATTCAGTGTAATTCTGCTGTATGGATAGAACGAGTTCAGGGAACATCCAAATGTAGGGGGGGAAACTGGCCAGCTAACAAATCATCTTAACAAACCTGGGTGGGTGCACCATTTTCTCTGAAGACGGCATCATAAGAATCAATTTCATCCCCAAATTTAGTTTTAAGAAGATCACCTGAGTTCCCAACAACAGCACATCTACCAAATTGGTGAGGAACATATGGAGATGTCTCAGGTAGAACTAGTGAGAGCTTTTCCATGCAAAGGCTTCTGTTCTGGCACTTATTCCTGCAAACTCAGAACTATATATGCTTAGTAATCTATTGGAGTTAAACCACACTTTATATAAGTCTAGGTGAAATGGCAAGGATTTGTATCTACCCACAGAAGGATTCCTTTGTTGATCCTTCTCCATGCATACTCCTCCCAGCCATTTGGCAAAGCATCAATGTACTCCTTTGTGAGTACTGTTGTACTGTTTCGGACCTGGGAGAGAAAAACTACTTACTTAGTGACCATATCAAAAGCTAACCGTGTAGCTGTGAAGAACTATAGACCAACATTGCAGTACAGTGTATGTTATGGTGTTCATGAAATTCAGATGGGGCAGTTGAAAAGTGACAGAGTACAACTTTGTCAACATTGCCAATGTTGTCAGGCACTCGTCATATGACTTTTGAAAGCAGTGCTATATGATATTGGATTCATTGGGTTCAATAAATCACATAGACTTATGAATACGAAGTATGATCACCTGCTCCCATGAGACTACAGCTTCGCACAGATTGAACTCAAACGACAGACCTTCAACCTTATGGGTGATTGGATCTCTCTGCAAAAAATTAGTCCATAATAAGAGCTACAAAAAATGGTCATACACCCTAGTTACGAGAGGAGTCCGACAGAGTACTATATTTGCTGGCCAAACATGCAGCAGAGTTTCAAAAGCATATAAGATGCAAGGTAAGCACAGAACCAAATGTACTTTGCAAGCTGATCCATAAGGCTGAAATGGGGAAAGTCCTGCCTGTATCAAGTAAAAGCTTTGCATGACACAACAAGGAAAAGAACTTACCCACTTAGAAACTGTGTCACTTGGGTATTGTATCACAACTCGACAGTAGTCCTCCCCAGTCACCGCTTTCAGTCCTAGCCCATTTGCATCCTGCAGATTTTTTAAGCAAGCAAGTAAGGTTTGTCTGAACCAAGACATCAATGAAGATCCTGAGGCTGCTAACACTGCAAACCTATGCAGCAACTGCCATCCAATTGAACTATAGATACGCTATAATCCCAGAAATTTGAATTCACACCAAAACAAAAACCTCACTGTCACTGTGCTATCTCGTACACACTGAACAGTGCACTTCAGACTCAGAACAATTGGCACACGGAATCAAGAATTTTGAAGCAATCACCCTCCCAGTCCACCACAGCTGGTGGCTCCGACGAGTTAGTGACCCCAGAGGTCACAACCACAATGCGGCACGAGATGAGCAGGAGCACTAAGACAAATCGAATGGTAATCAGCTGATCCTGAGAGGAGTTGGATGAGCAAGACCGTACCACGCACTTGCTGAAGCTGCCCCGCAGCGCGGCGAGCGCTGCCAGGTCCGCCTCCGAGAGCCGAGCGCCGCCATCTGCACGCACCCACCAATCCGGCGTCAGGGATCTCCCGCACGACACGCAAACTGAAGGACGAGAGAGGGGGGGCGGGGCATTACGTGAGGAGGAGATGCCGGAGAGGTAGATGAGTATGGCGGTGAGCCCCGAGAAGATGGCCGCTGCGAGCGCCAGCGGGAGCACCCGCAGCGCCGGAGCAGCCCTAGGCGCCATGCTTCCGCGGTGTGCCGCCTCTTGCCGGAGCAGGAAGGGGAAGTGTGGGGCACACCGGCACACGCCTCGGTTTGCTAATCCCGAGTAGCGCAGGGGGCCGCTTGCATAATCGCATGTTTAGTTTAGCTAGCTAGCCCAATTGCATCTTTAGTCTGTGGGCCTCTTGTGCCTTAGTACTGAAGTGGGCCGCGCACATTGGGCCCAACGTAGCTACTGAACAAACAGCCCAGACCAGTTCATTTAGCAGCACAGAAGTAATCAACTCCATTCATCCTGCGTCCCCTTTTAATTCCTGTGATGTGATGTCATCCTTTTTGTTATATATACTGTATAAAGATTACTGCAAAGTTAGATTAAAAAAAAATACTGCAAAGTTCATGTGAATGAAACTCGTATATGTCTGGTTCCGAACAAAGGTTGTTTTTCGTCCACTGGAACTTTGACGGTGAAAAGTTTTCATCCCTCGCTGACTCTTCTCCAGGAATCTAAGAATAAGGAAAAAAAACTGTCTACGCGTTGGAAACCTGGACGTATTACATGTACCACACCAGTGTCGCAATCAACACGCGTCTTCCTGCCGGAGTGTCGTGTCGGCACAGTTACGGCGAGGTTAATGGCGGTAAAAGGCGCGAGGCGACGTCCTCTCCGGCCAAGTCTTGGCGGCGACTCGCTTGCGGCGCGTCCTCTGGATTCCGGCGATGGCTTGGCTGGACCTGAGACCGAGAGAGATGGGCCTGGGTTGGTTGGTTGGTTGGTTGGCCGTTGGCAGGTCGGAGACAGGAATGAGTTGGACTATTGGTGGACCTTTGCTTGGGCGTCAAAATGGTCGGCCAGCTGGCCCAGTAAGGTCCAGACAGCCTGTCCCATCCCACCCCTCTTTGCGGGCGCGTTGCTCGGTCAACCAAGGACGTTCACGGGATCTACAGGATTTTGGCGTATTGATTGCCTCTTCTCACGCTTTGTTTGCGCTCCCACCTCTCATAAACGTTACGCGCTCGATCTTTCAATTATTGTTCATCGGATATATAATTTTATTATGGTTCAGCCATAGGAAAAAAAAAGGTATGAATTACCTCTTATGAGTTGTTAATTTAATCATATTTCCTCTGTTTTTTTACATGTAGATTTGTCTTAAGTCCAACATTTTTTACTTTGATCATCCATTTCAAAAAAATGAGATCCAACCTACGAGAACTAAGTGGGTTTTCATTATATTATAAGAATCATTATAAGAATAAGAAGAAAAAATAGGCATCCAATTTCAGTCCAAGACGAGACTTAAAACTGGGTGGTTGGGTGCATTGCCACATCTCTCACCCAACCAGTTAAGCTATGCTCAACTTCGTGATCATCGATTTCAATATAGTTCACATGTTGTGAAACTATATGCACTGCTCATTGCGCTTGCTAAAACGATCGTAAATTTCAAAGTGAATAAAGTGTTTTTCTCTCACCACCAAACCAAAAAGAAAGAAATAATCCACGATACGATACACTACTTCCCTAATGCAGTGATGGATGTTTTCGACATGTGAACTATATACTATTATTATCTAGTTCAAAGAAAAACTATATACTATTATGGGAGTACTTTTATAGTGAATCTAAAACACACAAATGTTAGACACATGTTAACCTATACAACATCTTTAAAACTGATGGTTAGACATGTTTGTTAACCTATACAAATTTTAAAATTGATGGTCAACATATTTGATTTAGGAAAAACTAATACGATGTGTAAAAAAAATAGAGGGAGTACTAATTGGTTGCAGACGCCTGGATATATCAATTCTCTTATATTTCGCACCCTTTTTTGTTCTCTTTCACAACACGCACATTATTACTTTTTTATTAAAAAAAAGGTAAAGGCGAGACTGGTATAGTATTTTATATGGCTGATGAAATAAATTCTGCAGACATTTGACGCAGGCGCAAGCATCACCACGTTGATGCACTTCATGGACCCATGACCATGATGATACAGTTGAGATTTCAGAGAGACCAGCAACGATCAATTCAACACGCTCAGCACAGAAATCTATCCACATCTTCTCAAGTATAAACTCCACGTCCTTTTCCACAGGTTCGTGGAAAAACAACACATACACAAAAACCTATCTTTTTCCTTTTTCTTTCGCGAAATTACAATTTGAATGATTATTCCTTTCTTCTATTTCTACTATTGGCTACAACTTACAACAACCACCACCCCCCTATTTCTACTATTGGCTACAACTTACAACAACCACCACCCTCTTGAATTCCTTGCTAATTAATCTCATAATACACCTCATCGTGATTGGGCAAGAACCACCTCACGAGCCATGACAACACCACACCAGCAATCACCAGCAGGCATGGCATGAACAGCACACAGATCAGGCAAAAAATTACGTCATTTACATGAAGAATCGTCATCATCCGTCACTGCCGGAGTAGTGTCACCGCGCAGCCCTGCCGGCGTGGCCATTGGCGGCCCTGGACGCGCCACGGCCGCGGGGCTCGCCACTGGCGCGCGGCGACCGCTGGTGCGCCGCGCCGGTGCGGCCGTGGTGCCGGTCCCGCGACGATCCGCCGCCGCGTGCCTCCCGCGCCCGGCTCTTCATCGACTCGATCTGCTCCAGCGTCTCCACCACCTCCTTCATCGACGGCCGGCTCCGGGGCTCGCCGGCCAGGCAGTTGAGCGTCAGCTGTGCCGCCTGGAACGCCTGCTTCGAGTTGTACTGCCCCTCGAACCGCGGGTCCATGAGCCGGGCCAGCTTCCGGCGGTCGGCCAGGTACGGCTTTCGTCCAGTCGGCCAGGCTCAGCTGCCCGCTCGGACGGTTCGGGTCCAGTGCCCGCTGCCCGGACAGCATCTCCAGCATCACCACGCCGAAGCCGTACACGTCGCTCTTCACGTACAAATGGCCTGGACAAATCATCGTTCATCAACATCAGCAAGCAGCTCAAGGAAAGTAACTGTAACTGTAGCAAACTCTGCATTCGGATGAGAAGAATTTGCTGGAAGGATTAATGGGTAAACAGATTGCACATCCTTGTCATGGTTTTTTTATGGAAAGTGACAAGGCACTGGAATGATCCTTGTGGGATATTATCCGCTTGGGGGCAGCAAGTGCAGGTGCAGGTCATTTTTAGTAGTGCCCCACTACTCTAGGAATTCAGTGACAGCAAATCTCTCTGTTCCCTTCTACTAGTAGTTAGAGACTTTAGAGTAGGAAAATCGGTTCTGCATCTGGATTCTGTTTCGACATCCATGGCCATGGTCCAGTGTTTGCATTTTCTGGTGTACAAGATTCTAAATTAAGCAAGACAAAGGTGTAGAGTCTGATGCATACCGAAAACATGGGTGAGGATGACCTGGATGGAGACTAACAAAGGTGTGAATATACTCAAAGTGACGTGAATGATATGTATGCCTGCTGTTTCACACAAATCAAATGTGGAAATGTCTGCAGGGCGAGAATAGCGTGATATTGATTGTGGGGGACAACCGAATCTACGTCGCGTATGTTTCTGTTTCAATGTGTGGAATGACTAGTAGCACGTGGAGTGTTGGCAATTCATTTACAAGGGAAGCAGAGTATGATCGTATCAGTTGGTGAGAGGACATGAGGACACATACCGGTTGCTATGTACTCTGGAGCTGCATAGCCATATGTTCCCATCACCCTGGTTGTGATATGTGAGTTGCTACCAGTTGGCCCAAGCTTGGCAAGGCCAAAATCAGAGAGCTTTGCGTTATAGTTCTACCAAGAAAAATAAAGTACTGTCACTATTTGACCTTAATAGCGAATTGATATATCAAAGGTACATTGCATAGCATTTGCCTGTAGGGGCTTAGGCCCCTCCAGTTCCGTCAAAAAAAACATTGCATAGCATTGAACTTACCGCATCTAAAAGGATGTTAGACGCTTTGAAATCACGGTAGATTACTTGCTTTTCTGATGCGTGCAAGAATGCAAGTCCTCGAGCTGCACCAATGGCTATCTTCAGCCTCAGTTCCCAAGACAGCGGGGCGCATCCTCCTAAAGGGAAATGCAATTAGTTGGCTCCAATATCAGTAAATAAAAATCACAATATTGTGATAAAAAAAAATTGGTTCCGCCACTGTAAGCAAGGTGATTTCCAAACTTGTTCAGTGAAATGTGCACGGAACTTCATCGAGGGTATTTTTAATGAGCAGAAAGAACTCACTCCTGAATAGATGGTTTTCCAAGCTCCCTTTGGCCATGAATTCATACACGAGAAGAAGTTCCTTGTCCTCCCAGCAGTAGCCCAAGAGCTTCACTAGGTTCGGATGGGAGAGCCTTCCTTGAAAATTTATCTCCGACTGCAGGTAGATTGAGAAGTCTCCATTAGCTATGCTAGTTAACATTTAGCAAGACGATGACATTTATTAGACTAAACTAAGAGAACTGAGTCAATTATGGCCACAATTTGCAAATGTGGCACATCGATGAAATTGTTGAGTTTTCTGAAAATGACATACTTCACCAAACAAAAAGTTTTTTTTTCTTCTCAAACGCGACTCACCAAACAAAAAGTAACTGCATTGTGAAAAACATGTGGCTTGTTGTATTATTGTATAACACTTCCAACAATTACCGAGATAACGCAGCTGAATTAAACAATCAGCCATCACACATGTACTAAACTGACAGACAGGTCATCAGAAGTTAAACAAAGCATAAAGAACCATAAAGCATCCAGTGATCAGGAGAACCTTCAAAATCGTTGTGCTTCTTTTAAGCTCTCTAGCTCCATTAGTGCTGTATCACCAGAAACTGAACTGCATCTGTAGCTAACAACAAGGCGATTGTTTTGCTCGTACTGGTACCATGTACCATCATCAGAGCAAACAAAACCAAGTCAAAGCCCAGTTGTCACGATCTTATACTAACTAATTCAGTAATGCTCATCAACTTGGCATCCTCTATTCCAAGATTATCATCGTTGTTGTTTAATACAGTAGAATATATAGAAGGAAAGAAAAAGGAGGCTAGATTTTACCTGCCATTCCTCGTAGCCCTGCATGCTCTCCGAATTGAGCTTCTTGACGGCAACAACTATGCCGGTGCCGTTCCTGGTCGGGGCCATGGTCTTCTCATCCACCCACCCTTTGTAGACTCTCCCGAACCCCCCTTCACCGAGGACGCTGTCCGGCCGGAAGTTCTTGGTGGCCGTCTTGAGCTCCATGAATGTGAAGGTGCGGAGGTTGGGCGCCTCCAGGATCTGGCCGTCGGGGTACTTGGCCCCCTCGTCGACGAACCCGCCGCTGGTGCTGCGGCTGCCGGCGGACGCCATGAAGCTGCTGCTCACGGAGGAGAGTTTCCCCGTGGTGCTCTGGCTGGTGGTTATGCTGCCGCTCGTCTTGGAGGTCATTGTCGTCCCTGTCACACACGATTGGGCAACGATTAAGTGTGATTACTGATTACGGTGGGAATTAGTGAAGAACATGGAGAATTCAGCAAAAAGCTAGCCTTTTTCCCACCCCTCGAGAATAAAAACTGCGAATTTCTGATAAATAAATAAAAGTGAAGAGCAAGAATTGAAATACCCCCGTCTCTAAGTCTCTACTGCCATGATACATACAAGGAACAGGAAATCCTAATCTAGGATCCTAAACAAAACATGTATCTTCAGCTAGGCGAACTGCAGGATGAAACTTCCAGGAAACAAATTGAGCAGAAGCCAGGAAAGTTTTCTCGACCAGGATAGGCCGCCCCAGCCTCAGGATCCACGAATTGGAAGGATCACATGAAAAATTACAGGGGAAAGAAGAAGACGAAGAAGGGGAAAACAAAACAAAACGGGTTCTTGATTGATGTAGGTCCTCACCTGGGCTAGACGGCCTAAAATCCTCGGCCACCCGATCCTTCCCGCCGCAGATGTTCCCCATCTCCGGTTCTCTCAGAGCTCGCTCCCTCTGTCTGGGTTCTCTCGCTCTACAGGGGAGGAGCCGAGGAGGAAGAGGAGGCGGAAGTCAGGAAGAGCCCAGAACAAAGCGTAGGAGAGGGGGATGGCGAAGTCAAGGAGGGGGATATAAGTATGCAGGGAGAGGGAGACTGACTGACGAAGCCCAAGGGAAAAAGTGGAATTTAGTTACTACAGCACTTTTGTTTTTATTTGATAATTAATATTTAATTATGAACTAATTAGGTTTAAGACGTTTGTCTCGTGATTTCTAATCAAACTGTATAATTAGTTTTTTTTTCGTCTATATTTAATGCTCTATATACGTATCGTAAGATTTGATATGATAGCTACGGTAGCTTTTTTTTGGAAAAGTACGCGCACGAAGAGAGAGTGCAGCTGACCGAGAAGAGAAGAAACCGAGCGCTCGCCGGCTCGGCCTCGGCGAAGTCTCCCGCCCCGTTTCAGTTGCCCGCCTGCACTGCGGCATGTGGCTGGCCTACCCTGGACCGGAGGCTCCGGAGCCCAGTTTCAGCTTTCCCTTTTTTTTCTCCTTCATTCACCACAAACTGCAAACTACCTGTTTGCTTTCCATGGATTCGTCACCAATCTTCCTCCTCCGCCTGCGGCTGCGTGTAAAAGCATGCCTGAAATATCCTATTCTTAATCTGGGCAAGCAGGGCACTTTATCTGCTGCATTTACCTTTTTGGAATTGGACAAGACATGTTGAACCGCTTAATGCCAATTTTGTTTCAGTTTTGCAGTAGAAATGCAGCTTTTAACAGTGAACTGGACATTCTATATATAGAAACTTTGCCGACGACAATGATTCAGTACAGATTATGTCTAGTACTGTTTATTAGTTATTGAGCATTTTACATCATACACAAGAAAAAAAAATGTTTTAATTATGATGTCAACTAAAAAGTGGTACCGTAAGTTCAGGTTTGCAAAACCGTAGTTCCTGCATATTTCTTTCTTTCTTTCTAAGAGAAAGCAAATGTCATGACTTGGGATTTGTTGGGATGTAGGAGTAGTACTACGTAGCTTAGACTGGGTCCAACCCAACCCAACAAGAGCCAGCCAGTGGTTTGTTTGACCAGCCACGCTAACCTTTCACGAAATAGTAGTAAATGTTCTGCAATTCCATCAAAAAGCAGATGGACAAGGATAGAGACTTCAGAGCATGCACCGAGTCATGAGATCTTCAGAGGTTTGACAATATTGGTATGGTATGTACAGGTGCTAGACTGTGTCAAACAAAATCATCTGTACTACACTGTACATTTTTTTTATTCTATTTCTCTCGCTCGAGTATCAGATTGTGGAATATTGCATTTTGATTGGTTCTTGAGTGTGAGTATAGACAAATCTAAAACCATGTTTACATCATGAACCCCAAATGTTCAGTCTATACCATCTCTTTTTCTTTAAGATGTGTTCACACATTCTAGAAAAGGATGTGTCTTTATGTACTTGTGTTGTGCGTACAACATTTGACTTGATTTTAGACTGAGCATCTTTTTTTTTATCTTACCCTTCTCTGTTTGAGGCAAATGTTGGCGGTAAATTGGAATAGAATTTCAAAATAGATTCAATCTTCGCAAGGCGTTTAGAAGTATCACCCTTCTTATAATCTTGAAGATTTGGAAGGAACGAAAATGCAACAATATTCAGAAAGTGCGAAACAAGCTCTCTGTCTCTTTTTGCACAAATCAAAGCGGAATTGCAGCAGGAGCAAAAAAGTCTAGCGATTTTTTTTTGGTCGAGAGAGTAATCGACTTTGGTTTTCTTTGCCCATTATTAAAACAGGCTGTCTGTCTACCTCTTCTATATCAATGAAAAAGGCACACTCTCGTGACCATTCGTTTTTTTTTAAAAAAAAAATAGATTCAGCTGCAAGTTAGTAGAAGTTGAGTGTATACAAGACAAAACACAAGCAGCCAAGCAATCACAAGACCCTGATGCAAGCGAGCGAGCATCGCTTCATCTGCTCCCTGAGACTTGCCGGTTAAAATCAGATATGTGACTTCAAATTCATGGTAAAAAATAATTATGCTTCATTTTTCGTCAACTTCGATTGATGTACATGCTTTGACAGCTCATCGTAACGCTCCATGAAACACAAAAGTAGCAGCCGTGGAACCGTTCTTCGATGACGACTGAACATATTGACAGGCAGAGGAGAGAAAAGGGCAGACCTAGTGCCGGAGGCTCCTATATGAGTGGGGTCTGGAGAAGGAAAAAATCGAGGCAAGTCTTCCCCCGTAAAATCTGCGGAGAGGCTACTTTGAACCCACGACCTGGTGACTCGGTGAGACAGCTCTCACCACTACACCAGACCACAGGCAGAAGAGAGAAGTTCAGTAAAAAAAAAAAACTCCTACTTTCTTTATATCTTGTGCCACGCAATTGGTCGGTTAATCTCCGGTTATTTCTCCATTTCACCCACCAGTTATTTGTTTATGCAATGGCATGTAGAAAGCACAACAAGAGGATCTTGGAGCAATCTTTCAAAAGAAAAAGGATCTTGGAGCTAGTGATGCAAGCACTGCACTGCATCTGTACCTATCCGACAGTTGGGAACAAATAGTGCTAGCTCCATTTCATTTGCAACTTACAATGGTTGACATTCTATCTTGACAACTGCATTATTTCAGGTTACATTACATCGATCATTTCATACATGTGTGTATATATATAACAAAAAGACAAACCTAAAAGCTCCAATTAGCATATATAGTGCTTCTTATACTGATCCATGATCCGGTAGGAAAGGCAGATCATATAAGTGGCGAGCTGTGACTCCCTAACAGCATGTGGTTGAAGCCTGCAGAAAACGCATGCTATGGTTGACTTGACGCAACCAATTAAACGCCACTAGTGGTAAGCCTTAAAAAATTTAAAACTACTAGTTGCATATCTCCTGATGCTGATGCATTGCATAACCCTTAGGAAAATGCCAACCCTTTCCCTTTTTTTTTTTGTCTCTTTTGCTCTTTTTGAACAGAAGCAGCACTTTGCAATTTAGGGGTCGCAGAATGAGATGATGACTACAACCATCTTCTAACTACAAGATCGGCGCAGTCGTTTTCTTTGCATCTTCTCATCACCTTCCAATGGTAGGTTAATTAGGTCTCAGCTACTATATATGCATGGTGAATAAGTGAATATATAGTTTGTCACTCTGAAAGTCCATTTCGCCCCTTATTTATATTCTAATAAAAGCAGAAAGACGTACAAGGGAATAGACTACAGGGCACTCAGCATGCCACTACTGCTGCAAGTGCATGCCACTACTATATATGCACTTGCAGCAGGTGCTACTGTGCTAGACTGTGTCAAACTAATCAACTGTGAATTGTATGTTTCTCCCAAGTATAAATCTGGAATGATGTGGTTTAAGAGTATAGACAAATCTAAAACCATGCTTACTTCATGAACCCAAACATTATGTCATCTCTATCTCTACTCTTTCGTGTGTTCACATATCCTAGAAAATTGAAAGGATGTGCTCAGAACATTTGACTTGACTTTAGCATCTTACTTCTAAGGTTGAGAAAAATGCTGGACTAAATTTAAAATAGCAGGTTTCTAATAAAAGAGTCCAAGTCAGTTCAGCACCAAGTAGCATCTCCGTTTAGGTAAATAATAAATCTGGTATATATCCTCATGTTTCCTCATATGACAAGGTGATGCTGGTTAAAGCCAAGAGAATATTTGACTTGAAAACACAGTAAAATTAATTATCCGTCGCTTTTGTCAGCTCATTGGATGACGCTTGAAAGTAGCAGCCACTGAACCATTCTTCGCCGATGAGGACTGAATAAATTGATACACACCAATGACTGATTCAGTAAAAAGATTTATTTACCTTTTATCTTGTTGGGCCGATTGCTTGGTTACTACTAGTACAAACTATCCAAACTTGTCTGTTCCTTCACCAGCTAATATAATCTTGCTGAGCTTTTGTGATATATATATATATATATATATCCAATGGCCAAATGGAGGAGCCATGCACATTGATTTTAGAATAAAAAATATCACTTGAAAGATGACATCACATGAATGTGATAATCATTTTCGAAAGTGATATTTGGGAGAAATTATCTACAATTTAGACTTTGGCATATGTTAGATGAACAATTGTAAAACAAGCTATGTGCCGTGCTCCTAAACAATTTAAACCATGTAGGTTTGCTCCAAGGGTTAAGAGTGAAACCGAGCAAGCCTACCATAAGATATACCTAGTGTATGCAAGATAAAAGATTAAACATGTAAATATAAACTTAGGCATGAAAAGGAACTGGATGCTAATTGAGATCGTAAGAAATTAAATCTAGTTACCTAACATGAGAAGGGGAATTTGGGTTCATAGTATTCACTAACCCACTTGGCAATTACCTTGTACATAATGATGCACCCCATGAAATGCACCCATACTTTGCCAAGTCTTCAAATTCCCAGAAGTCCATCGGACATCTCACTTCCCTTTCAGGATACATACCTTCTTGATGCTCTTCACGTTGAAAATGATCTTCTTTGGCATCCAAATGCGTTTGAACCCATTGTTGGCTTGCTTGTTCACCTTGATGGCCACCACCTTGTCATTTTTCTTCTTCTTTAAGAGATAAGGTGTGGAGGTATTTTTGTCCAACTTGTTGGTGTAGGTGTTGGTGAGCTTGTTTGTTTCCTTTTTATTTTTCTCTTTCTTCTTAGCTCCTCCTCCATTCTTCACCTTACACTCATAGGACTTGTGGCCTTCCTTGTGGCACACGTAGCAAAACCATGGTTTGTCCTTCATCAAGCTTCTTCACTTCCTTGACGGTATTATCTTGATGAAGTTGAGCTTGCTCCATCTTGCCTTTCACTTGAGTCAAATCCTTGGTGAGGCGAGCCACTTCTTGCTTGAGTTGCTCATTCTCCATTGCGACCTCTTGTGTGCATGTTTCTACAACAACTTTCTCAATACAAACTTGGTT